TTTAGTTACATTTTAAAATATAACAGACATATGTATGTATTATACCCACGTAATATCCAAAGGCTTATTATTACGAATGCATAATGTGTATATATATATATATGTAATAATAATAATCTTAATATATGCATTAACACACTCAAACAAAAGCGGTTTGTATATATATATATATATATATATATATGTATATGTATATATATATATATTGGTACATAACACTTGCATACAATAAAATTAAAAATATTTTAATATTTAAATTAGCAATGCTAAAAACGTCGTAAATTGCAATTTCAATTAAAATTTCTTTAAATTGTGAAATAATAATATGATATGATTTTTGTGAATAACTAATACAAGTTTTTGATGTATACATTTTGAAAATATAATATTAATAACTATAAAGACAATTGCCATTTATTATTTATAAGACCTTCATTCAATTAAAATAAGTATTAACTGTCTGTCTGTATGAATATATAAAAAGAAGGCATAAGCGAACGATATAACCAAATAAAAATCTGTTTAAGATATTTTTATGTATTGTTATGGAAATAAAAAAAGAAAAAAAAACACGAAACTAATCAAATAAAAAAAATATTTTACTTTTATCTATTACGTTACATAAAAATATATTATTGCAGATATGCATACATATTAATATATATATAAATATATATTTATATGTATTATATTTATATATATACATAAAATATATTTATATGTAATAATATAAATTTATTATATATAAAATTTTAATATATTATATATATATATATTTTATATTATATATATATATATTTTATATTATATATATATATATTTTATATTATATACATATATATTTTATATTATATATATATATAGTATATATATATATATATATATATTTATAGGTATACATACATATAATACATTATATACATATAATATATATATATAAATGTGTATACAGATATACAAAAATATAAGACGTATATATATAAATATGTATTTGTAAAAATGGGTATAGCACCATATATGCAGGAAAGAACTATATATTTTATTAGTAAAAACAAGCTTTGTGAAATTGTTTGTACATTATTATTATTGTTTTTTTGTTTTAAATTCATTTACAAAATATTTAATGTAAAATATCTTTAAGTTGTTCATATTATAAAGAAAAACTTTTTTGTATTTAATTTTAATATATTCGACTAATAATTGTTATAAATTCATGTTGTTGATCCCATCTGACCAACTCTTCTCACTCTCTTTCCCTTTGTCTTTCTCTCTCTCTCTCTCTCACTGTGACGCGTTCTTATTTTTTGTATAGGTTAATATATAAATTGTATTTATAAAAAAAAATTTATTATTAAATATTGTTCATATATAAGCAAGAGAAAACTTTACTGAAATTTGTTTTATATTTTATTATTGAATTGCTATATATACACAAAATAAGTTAAAAAAATATACATAAATATATGAAATTTAAAGTGTAAATAGAATTATAAATTTAAAAGATCTATAGTTAAGTAAACTAATCAGAAATTAATCATTAAACGTGTACTAAGTTTTATTGAAATATAATTGTTTCTTAAACTCCTGTAAACTAAAATAAAAATTACAAAAAAAAATTACAGAAATACAAATTGTTCACATTTTTTAGTGAATATTTAGTACATGGGTTAAAGACATTCTATATCACAATTGTAGATATATTATTATATGAGATATATTATTTATAGTAGAGGTCTAATATAACGAAAGTCTAATTTGACAGCAATAAAGTGCTGTCACTGACTATTTTATATATATAACGAATGCACGAATTCGTTATTGCAGTTGTAGTCATATTATATATGAGATATATTATTTATAGTAGAGGTCAAGTATATGAATACCCAATAATTCCTTTAACTATATTAACATACTAAAAACAAGTTTGAAAGGGAGCTTTTCGCTAAAATAACACCTAAAATGTCCCATAAAATGGTTTCATACAATAGACTACCGAAAATAATAGCTGCGCTTCAGGAAACAATGATCTGCTCAACGATACACTATAACAAAACTGCGAACGAGAGAATGAACTAGTTCATATTCTGATCCAATGTGGAATATGTGTGTAAAATAAAGTGGTAATGTCGGTGGTAAAGCGACGTTTTCATATGATATGTTGTATAATGGCTTGCAGACTTAAGTCCCCGTGTCAGTGTCAATATCTCATTTTGCATTGAAAGTTAAAACAATTTATGACTATAACTACCCGTAAGCGCAAAAGGAACAACTAAGACAAATATGCTTTGCCAATTACATTCATTTTACAATCAGCACCGTTTCAGGAAAAATTATCTAGATAATTGTTTTCAGAAGAGCAGCTAATGTAGATTACACCGCAGTCTAAACAAGACCTACAAAAGACAGCAAAAAACTAATCTAGAACTTCAAAAAACAAAAAAAAATGTAAGTTTATTTTTGAAATATAAAGAGAACTACTGACAGCTATCTACCTTTGTTTAAAGGTATCTACCTTTGTTTAAAGGTTTTTTTTGAAATGCTAAGATGCATTCCATTTTTGGAATGAATGTAAGCCTTATGGAATGCTCTCTCACAAGCGTTAACACTAACCTAGTAAGAGAGTATCGACCAATGTTAAGTACTTGCAATGTTAGTACTAAGCCAATGAGGCTTACTTTTCTTTTAGACGTTCAGCGTGAATGTGTTGATACCTTAATGTTTTTGTTCGACTCAACAATTGGACTATGTAAAAAATTATTCTTTAAATTGGACATGAACTTTATATACTAACATTATATATCATTATACTATATTTTTTTTATTATTATTAGAGGTTAGAATGCACTGCGACCAGAAGAGATCTATTGTGCATCTTATACTATATAAATACAATATATTTATTGCCTTTGTAGCTAGTTCGGCTAAGTTGAAGTGACTGCCTTATGGACCAAAGCGCCCTTGAGCACAAGTAATGGCCCGTTGTGATACCACGAACGTTTGGTAGCGCACTACAGACGCTTTGTAGTTCACTACGAACGCTTGGTTGCTCACTACTGGTGGTTTTTAACTCAGATTGGTAGCTTACCATGGGCGATTGGTAGCTTACCACGGACGCTTGATATCTAGTACTTTTAAATACCTTTTTAAATGTTATATTGTATTTAAATATAATAAAAAAAAATATATATATTCATCCATTTTAGCTTTTAACACGTCGAAAAAATTTTTATGCTTTATTATAAATATATATACATTAAGACCGAAAAGTTTTCGGAAATTCTCATTTAAAATTCGCGCGCTGTATATTTTTCGATATTTTAAGTTTATGTAGTTTGGCAGCACTGTCCTTAATTACTATGCCAAAAATGAGCGCGATCTGTCAGACAGTTCGTTTACGGCAGCTGTTGAAACCAGTTCACCTCAGTAGGGCGTTGCGAAAAAAACAATGGAAAAAAATATTGAACAAAGAGTTTGCATCAAATTTTGTGTTTCGAACGAAATTTCGTGTGCAGAATCGTTGCGAATGCTACAAAAGGCTTATGGGGAATCAGTTTTATCGAAAACTCAAGTTTATGAGTGGTACAAAGCCTTCCAGGACGGTCGTACGACCGTCGAAGACATTTCGCAACGCACTACTGAGGTGAACTGGTTTCAACAGCTGCCGTAAACGAACTGTCTGACAGATCGAGCTCATTTTTGGCATAGTAATTAAGGACAGTGCTGCCAAACTACATAAACTTAAAATATCGAAAAATATACAGCGCGCGAATTTTAAATGAGAATTTCCGAAAACTTTTCAGTCTTAATGTATATGTATATAGTTTGTTTTCGGTAATGACATCTAATAAGAAACCGAGGCTGTTGATTTTACTTAGTTATTGCACCTAATGTGGATAACAATAAGCTTTTAAAAATATAATAAATAAACCAACTGCAATACATAAATATATATAATTAAAACTGTTTTTAAAAAAATGTCTAATCTGCTTACAGTTCTTGACTATGCTAAATAATATAGATCTTAATGGTCTTCCTTTCGATTATATATATTATTTTGTACCGTCTGTGAATAAAAGTATTCAATGATGATTTAAAGCAGTTGGTGTTATAATTTTTGGTAGTGGACTTATTTCCTGAACCTTACCAGTCATACTGGTGTGACTTTACCAGTTACATTTTCTATAAACCATCCTGCGTAAGCGAAGTATATGGATGCAATTGTTAAGCACAATTGACTTTATGTCTCAAAGACCTTATGCGCATTAGAAATAGTTTTTGTAATACAGTGATCAACACTAATCACGTGACATGGTTTGATCGATATTTAAAAAGAAAGATGTGCAAATACCTCGTATACATATGATACCAACTGATAGAATAAATTGATCGGATAAAATATACAGATATACAAATTTTATAGAGATAAAAAAAAACTAGATTTATATATCTATATATATGAATAGTTATATAGATATATTATATATATTCATATATACATCTTTATTGCTCTCTTTTTATCTTTTTATCTAAAAAAATCTAATTATAATTTATATTGATAATAATTTTATCAATTTTATTAAAATTGATAAATAATAATGAATTGATATTTAATAATTTTAATAAAATTAATATCGCATCTATATATCTATAAACATTAAGTAAATGAAAGTAATATCTAGAGTAGTAAAACGATATTTATCGATAAATATTTAAGATATTCATTTAATATATCCTTTACTCTGACCGTGATAATGATTGGTGTACGATCAGAAATATATTATTTATGCCAATCTATAAGTACATATGATACAAAAATCAACATATAGCTATTATTCATTTATTATTATTTCATTTATTTTAAAAGATAATGTACTTAATGATTATAAATAAATCAGTTTGCAGAAATCTATATACATATATATATATATATATATATATATATTTACAAGCTATATCTTTCTGAATAAAAAGTTAATATATTTTTATAATCTACATTTAAGGAAACAAAACAAGAAGCATTTACTTTCAAGAAAACATCGAGAAATAGTGAATGAGCCAAAACATAGAGGTAATTCATATTTTTAATGATAATATCCAAAAGTCTTCTTTTGTAAAGCAGACAAAGAAATTTTTACTCTATCCGTTTCATTACTCTATAAAATAAATCGACATATCTATTTACCATCTAGGCACGACCAATTAAAATGAGACAAGAACTGGTATTCTCCAGCGACTTATCTGAAATTCTTTACTTTCTGGAAATGATGGCCGAGTTGTCAATATTTTCAATTTCTAAAATAAAAGTCTCTGAGGATTTTAAAAGGTGATTTTTGATTTTTTATTATGTTTTAATAAAATGCTGGATATGTTTTCGGTATTATCTTTATTGGATATGATTTCCCCAATATTGCATTGAAAATAATTTAAAATTTAAAAATGATGATCGTTTATTGGATTTTAGAAACACCGAGACACATTCATCGTGGATTTAACACTATGTACTATTCTTAATGTTTCTTCGATCTGTTGACTGATAACTCGTTGGAATAAGCTGTATTTTTAATTTTTAAAGATTAAGTAAATAAATTTGTATTAATTAATTAATAAAGAGATTTTATTAAAAACAATAAAAAGGGATAGCAGTGGTTTTTTTTTGCGAAATTTATTTAGTAAGTAAACGCATATACATACATATTCACTTATATATATATATATATTTATATATATATATATATATATGTATATATATATGTATATATATATGTATATATATATAGATATAGATATAAATTCATTTATTTTCGAAAGTTCTTTTGTAGAACGGTACATATTTTTTTCAAACAATTTCATTCATTTGTCGATATGACCTGCCTCGAAATGCACACGGACAGACAACACTTAATCCATTCGTCTTGTTATGTGGGCTAATAATATGTATGTATATATGATATTCCCGGTCTTTAACATTTTCACTACATAACAAATATATTAATAAAAGTTATATATACCTTTTATTCGCCTAAAGTTAATAACATTTTTTAAATACTACATTACCTAGTGTGATTCAATAAATTGAGAGTAGGAAGAATTATAGTTAAGTACCCTACTAAACCCAACACACGTGTCATTTTTAAGGACTATAGTAACTGCAATAAATGTTGTTAATATCCTCAGAAATAGTAACACTGAAAATATAACAAGTTTTCTTAACTATAAGGATATATCTACGAGTAGAATTTTTTAATGGAACTGTATTCCTTTGGTTGGTTTTCCATAACCTACGTTGTGCAGTTAATGAAAGCGAAAGTATTCAAAAACTATATAATATTTTGCGTACCTGCTATCCTCAGACACAGACGGAATTAGGGTAACTTATATAAATAGGTGTTTTAAATTGGTAATGCCGAAACTATTGACAAAGACAATCTATATAAATTGTCTGAAATGTTTTCTATACACATCTATATTTATAAAATTGTTAAATTGATTTTTGTTGATTTAAAAATGTATAAGCAATAGACATGCAAAATGGGTTGTTATGCCCCTAATTTAGTTTTATAGGTTAGGTACGTAAGTGTTTAGCATAGTAATGTGAAGCACTTGGGAAAATAATTCTAAATTTTATAGCTATATAGATATATTTTTTTTTTGTTTGTATCCAAAATCAAAAAAATACTACATTTGGTCATTTTTAAATAAATGATCAATTATCATAAAATTTTTTTGTAATATTTTTGTTTATGTTGAGCCTTTTCCGAGTTAGTGAATCTGGGCACTTTTACTCTATGATGGCTGGGGGGTTTCTAAACAGTCCCACCCATCTCACTGACTTATTTGAGTATTCCTCAAACTCTTCGTGATTATTCAATGATTGATCTAAGATGTGCGTACCGCCCGGTGCGGTTAGTGATTACTCTGAGATTAGATAGTGCTAAGTAGGGCAGCCTGTCGGTTTTCGCATATAGCTTCAGGGCTCTGTCTAGCTCTGAAATACAAAACTTTTAATTATTTGTAAACAAGTGCCATTTGAATTAAATACTTAATCATGAAAAGATTTTTAATACTTGTGATTTTAATATCATCTGCGGGTCCAATATGAGCACAATTTATTATTTCTTAAATACATTCTCCAGATTCCAAATGGCGTTTTATTAGTTTGAAAAAGTTGAAACTTAAAATAACTTAATCTATATTTTCCATAGTCCGAAAAAATTGCATGCCTATTACCCAAGCTCTCCTATAGGACATTCGCAGAAGTTAATGATTTTTTAATGGAAAAAGCCATTTTCCATTAAAATATAAAAATATCTGGTTTATGAGTTGTAAAAATAGTTTTGCAATTATAGAAAATTTTTCAAAAAGTTATACATTTTAGAGGTCACTTTATCGTGTTTGTATATACATTTATGAAATCTCAAGGGTTTAAAAATTATATTCAACGTTAAGTAAATCCAAAATTCTTTTTAACGGGAGGATTTGAAACAAAGAATCTTTAAGAAGTAAGTCTCTAGTGAAATTAGTCTACTTTCTGTGGGACATTTCCTCGTCCTCCTCACATCTGCAGTTAAAATTATTAAACGGGAGTGTCAATCTTCTAACATGGTTTCTTAATTTGGAACCCGTCATGAAACTCACCTCAGAATTGATTTCCTTGCTGAGTATCTTAATGATATTGCCCGATTTTTACTTATTTCAACGCGATCAACTTGCATATATATATATATGTCTGCATTTCATTGATTTTCTTCATCTTGTGTTAAATTACTTAATAAAGGATGAAAGAATTTGTTGTTTATTCTGGCAATCAATAGATTATGATTAGAAGGAGTATCAAGTACTGGGAATGTTCTTCTTGATTTTTTTGTATTTATGTACTTTTCCCTTGCCATAATATAAGTCACTTAATTACAAACACAGTTACTTAACTGTACCGGCTTGTGTTTTTCCTCTATGGGGTCTTAGTCTTGGGAGTTTGAAAATCACATCTGACATAATCAGTGATTTAAGATGTTTGGCTTTATATTTTTTCATTTTACTTATTATATTATTAATTTCTTTACAGAACATAATTGTGACATTCTAAGCACCTGTTCCAAAATATTTTTTATTATTGAATTATATATTAGCTTAGAAGGAGATTCTCAGAAACTCAGCTCATCTACGGGCATTTATAGTTTGGCCATTACTTTGATTTTCACACAAATTAGAATTAAATCGTATTAATCCAATCCGAATAAGTATATCCAATTGTGGCCATCATATGCCATTTGCGCTTTACTCTACAAATATATACATATGATTAGGAATAGTGACATGGGATAGAAATATTGGTTTTGGGAAAAAGCTGTGCTGTGAATTTTTTTTTGTATACAGGGTGTTCAAAAAATTATGCACAAAAACGAAGCAAATATTTCAATATAAAAATATTTTTTCAATTTTACGAATGAGGCTATAGGATATTATTCTAAAAATCTTACTTGGCTCTAAGATCAACATTATTTTTAATGACTTTTTTAAAGAAAGAAAGAAGAGAGTCAATTATCTCATTATCATTGCATTTTTGTCATTGCTATTCAAATTACTATAGATTAAGTCTCACCGATATGACATGAGCGACTGGCTTTAATCTTGGTTGTACCTCAATTGGTGTAGACTATATATGTAAAATATATCTAAAGAATGTAGAAACGGTACTTTCAACCGGGGTGCTCATAGATATTGTATGTTTGGGATGGCAATTTATTGACTGACTAAATTAAAAAAGTGTTGCACGACACCTGGAGTACGTTCATTGGTAATATCCAGCAGTTGAATAGCTTATAGATTGATGTGATTGAGTAATAATTTTTCATGCCTAGCAGCTACAAATCTTTATGTATTTCTTGGTTTGTTACATATCGATAGGCAGTTGTTATCATTCGTAAATATTTGTTTTGATTTTGCTATATGATGTTCTGTTCAATGCAACATTGTGTTGTTCCATTAATATAAACTACGTCTAGTCACTGGCTTAGTAAAAAATTTCGCTTAAAGAGTAGAAATTTTAGCGAAATTAAAAAGTTATATAAATCATAAATGGGTATTTAGAAGACTGTGAACTGCACTACAATACACAATTTATATTGGTATATTAAATTTCGAAGAGATTTAAAAATTAACAATAGCAACGCAAATAAAAACTTTTGAAGTTTCTTCTCTTGAATATTCCTTTTAGAAAAGAGATTTGTATATACCTACATAAATTTTGTTATAATAATTTTAAAAAGTATCCAGATCCTAGTTACAAGGGTTTAGAAAAATATTATATATAGCATACGTATTGACGTATCGTGAATAAAGTAATTAACAACGCTATTGTCGTTACTTTGTCAAATACCAAAATCTTGCTAAAAATTGTTTTAAAATTGGTGACAATTCTGACAGAAGATTTTCAGCTCACAATAGGTTTTCAGTTCACTGCACTTATTCAATTCACTAAAATCTTTCAGCTCAGTAGTCTTTTAACTCAGTACGGTCTTTCAGTTCGCTACATACTTTCAGCTCAGTATAGTCTTTCAGCTTACTATAATCTTTCAAATACAGCTGTTTAGGTCACTACAGTCCTTTAATTTACAATAGTCTTTTAGTTCACTATAGCTTTTCAGCTCGCTGTAATTTTTTAACCTATTATACTCTTAACCAGTGACGGCAATGTATATATAAGTTTAATATTATATCAATATGAAATAAACACAACTTTTCAGATACTTTTTATAACAACCAACTTTTTTAAATAAAAGAGTTTGTACTCAGCATGACTGAATAAACATGTATATTATGTTTATGCAGTGATCAAACAAAATCGAACTCACTTGCAACGTATAAATGTGCGGCCAACTATTGCGCACACCTAGCGAAAGAAATTCATGGTTGCTGCTGCTTAAAGGGAAAAGACGAAATCTTATAGAAATGTACAGTGATGTGAGCCAATTAACATATTGGATTCATATGTATGCAGTTTATATTCGAATAGAACAGAATAATTACTCTTATATGTATATTTCCCACTATATAAATCTCTATTTCTCATAATGTAAGCGAGAGTATACACACATTTTGTTCATTCTACTGTTATGCACACTCAACGACAGAAATTTGAAAATGCAATTGCTTAAAGGTTTCTATGGACAATTCTATTTAATTGTTTTTGCTTAAACTTTAATCATTAAAAATATATATATGATATGTAATAAATAATATTAATTCTCGATGTAAAGATATTTAATGAATTTATATATTTTATTTGGCATTTTACAAATTATGTTAGGGTGTGTGCTGCACACCTCCGCACCTTAGAGTAGTTGTCACTGCAATCAACTCATTGCAAATTTTTCAAGTATACCAAACTTTCGTTAAATAAATTTGTATTCTGTCAACTATTTTGTACGCTGTTTTCAGTCTTACCAAGGGTCAAGGATCGATATACACTTAGCAGAAAAACTCTGCGTACAGAAAGTAAATTTTGTTTCAACAATAAAAAAATTATTAAATAAATAGATTTTTTAAATC